CTCTCTCATGTTTCATGCTTAATTAGTGTCACATGACTAAAGTCGATCTCATTTTTGGATTTTACACATATTAAGATCAATGTTAAATGTGTGTTTGACCCGTTTCATATTTTGTTCTTGAAGTGATATTGAAACGAGAGCGTGAGCGAGCGTAATGTGTTTAATGAAGGTCGGAGAGAAATGGCCGGGAGTGTGTAAAATAAAATTCTGCCTGTCCGAGAATGATCTTCCCAAGTTGACTTTGCACGATTTAAAAAAGAGATTCAAAAACGTTTTTTGATTGAGATTATAGCTCAATTTACTTTCTTTTAGCTAAGTGTCTGGCGAGTGTTGAAGGACACTCGAGCAAGGGGTGTCATCTCTTTTTTAAGAAGAGATGATGATGGGTAAGGAATGTTAAATGAAGTGAGTGAGGTCTAATATACGAGGAAAATAGGAATAATTATGACATTTAACATGTTAAAAATTGAAAAGTAGAGACCTCATAATATTTTCGATGAGTAAAGCAAATCAAGTATATAAATGAGATTTTAGTTTAGTAGGGATGTCAATTATTGAAAGTGGAAATTTAGTATTGGGATAAAGGGAGTATTATCTAAATATGTGAAATTTGCACTAAATAGGACTAAAACATAATGACTTTCCTAATTTAGGACTTAAACTTTTTTATTCCCTAAATAGGATTTAATAATGTCTTAGTGAAGGAATAATGTCCAGTAATGATGGACATTTACTTGAATAATGACTAATTAATAATGACAAAAATTCCTACATTGGAAAATAAAAACATATGGTACTATATTGGGAAAGTCATTATATTTTAGTCTTATTTAGGTAAATTACTCTCTAAATATTGATGAATGAAGCTATGAAAAAAATTAATACATTGCCAGTGGAGCTAAAAAAAAGTTCTAGATTGAGAATGTTTTAAATTTAGGTAAAAGATGGTCAAAATGACATTAAAAAGTTGTACTTTGTGGTTGTAAGTGTTTGTTCCTTGTACATGACCAAAAAATTGCTCAATTTCAACAGGAAACAGAGGCCAAAAATGACGCTCCCAATTTTCGCCAAGCTTGCCGTCCTTAGCATATTGGAGTGAGTTTTCTATATAATTCTATATCCCGATTCTTTTAACATCCATTTCAAATGTCATAATATGACACTTTCGTTCTATAGAATTTCGTATCCCTTTATAGCATCCCACAAATCCAACCCCAATAAAAGACTGTAGAACCACCCTCAAATTTGTTTAATGCAAAAGAAAGACTCATCTGATGTAAACCTTTGATATATATATATATATATATATATATATATATATATATATATATATATATATATATATATATATATATATATGCTTCTTTAATTAATTTTGTGCAACAATTTTACAGGCCTGTAATAGACCAGAATATGTACTTCATAGGGATGAAATATACAACAGCAACTTTTGCAGCTTCAATGAGCAACATCTTACCTGCCTTAACCTTTGTCATGGCATGCATTTTCAGGTGAACATCTTTATTATAGTGCCAAAACATTATGAAATATACTTTCAAATTTAAACTATTTGTTTATTTTGACTATTTTGGTTACTCACTTGATAGAAAATTAGAGTCATATCACTTTTTCCTTGACTGTTTTGTAAAATTTTTGACTAAGTTGCACTGAGACAGGGACAGGGTCGGAAGCGTGAAATGTCATTTTTTTCATAATTTATAAAGGATTTGGGCGTGTGGACGCCCCGCCCCAAGTACCCGAACGGGGACGTTTCGGGGAAGAGGCACCTGTTTGAGGAATTCGTGCAACATAGATTTTTGAGATACTTTTTTAAACACGTAAATTTTGGTTTTAAATTTCATCTTATCTCATATAAATTGAATCTAAAATAATCTCGGCCAAACATCGTAAAACCGAAACAGACAATTTAAATTGAGACGTACAGAACACCAAGACCCAGAATGTCAAATTAAAGGCGTGTCACAGTGTCATTTATTTGGTTTGATATGAAATGGGCAGACTCGAGAAGGTGAGGGTGAAGAGCATCCCGAGCCAGGCGAAGATCATCGGGACGGTGGCGACGGTGGGGGGAGCGATGATGATGACGCTGCTGAAAGGCCCAATGGTCCATCTTTTTTGGGCCAAATCTAACGCCCATCAGAACCCAACTGGTGCCATTGATTTAGCCCATTCTATCCGAGGCGCCCTCATGATCTCCTTCGGCTGCTTGAGTTGGGCTTCTTTCATGATCCTACAAGTTAGTCATTTACCCACACTTTATACTCTTTTGGTCCAAAATATTTGTCACATTATATGAAACGGAACAAAATTTCAAGTTTTTTTTTGAATTTATTAAATTTAGAAATTGGTATAAAATAAGAAATAATATTTCAATATTTTAAAACTACGTCAGAAGTTTTTCAAAACAGAAGATTACAAGAATATTTTATTTTATCAAATAATCGATGAAAACGTACCAATAAACAAAAGCCCCCGTGATATTTGAATAGTAAAATATGACATTCTTTTTGGGACGAAGGGAGTAATTTATATTCCAATTTTTCAGACTTTGGATTCTAAACTTCATATTCTGATTTCCAGATTTCAATTATCACATCTACTCTAGATTTTAGTTCAAATTACTGTTCTAGTTTTAGTAAACAAATTATGGATAGTTACCAAAATGCCCCTAAAGATGATATAATCTTTGTGTGAGAACAACGTTTCAATTTAGCGTTAGTGTTTTGAATAAATTTTTAATGTGCATATTATTTTTTTTGCTATTTGCTAAAAATAAACATTGCCATTAGATAATCTTTTCAAAACGCTAAAGATATTACCAAATATATCTCTGATAGATATATACTTCCTCCGTTTCAAAAAAATTTACTCAATTTAACTTTTACGAAGTTTTTGAAAAGTGAGAGAAATTTTGTTAGCCACATATTTACTACGAAACAAAGGTAAATGAAGTACTAGGTTAGAAGCATTTTTTAAAGCGTATTATAGGAGATGCAGACAAGTTTTTTTTGGGACGGAAAGAGCAGTAGATAATTATTTTCCTAACCCAAATTTAATTATACTGATTTTAATTTTTGCAATGTGTTTTTTTGTCCATGAACAAATAGGCAATCACACTGAGAACATATCCCACAGAGCTATCAATGACTGCATGGATATGCCTTTTGGGAACTGGTGAAGGAGCCATTGTGGCACTTGTCATGGAGAGGGGCAACCCTTCTGTTTGGTCCATCAATTGGGACACCAAATTTCTTGCTGCCCTTTATAGTGTAATTAAGCACCACTCTTAACTTTTTTATTATTAATAATTATCGGTCCAGTTTGACATTTTCCAGTTCGAATAACAAACTTCGATGGACGGTTTCAATCCCTACGTAACATCTCAGGGCCTGCAGCGTAACTGATAATGAAATTCGTCTTATTTGAGTTGAAAAAGTCAATCTGGACGAATATTATATAACGGAAAATGATATCGTTTATGCGTGTATGGATGCAGGGAGTGTTTTGTTCAGGACTGGCATATTACATACAAGGGGTGATAATGAAAGATAGAGGGCCTGTTTTTGTCACTGCTTTCAACCCATTGAGCATGGTTATTGTAGCTGTTATGAGCTCCATCATTCTAAAAGAACAAATGTACCTTGGAAGGTAAAATAATTAATTGCCACTCTTTTTTTTCAAAAAAAAAAAATTATTCTCATTAACCATTTCTCAAAATGGCATATAGCTATAGGACCTTCACTCTTTTAATACTCCATCCGTTCCAAAAAAAATCCTTATTTGGGATGTCTAATAAAAAAGACTTCTTATTTCCTTAAGGAAAACTTTGAATGGCTCACACTTTTTCTCTTGCCTCTGCATTACTTTCAACCACATATTTTTACTTTTCTTAAACTTTGTGCCAAGTCAAAGTGAGGGTCTTTTTTTTAGACGGGGGAGTACTAAAATATAACTTATAATACGAATATATGATGTTATAAAAATTGTCAAATTCCAACGCACGTAAGTTTCGTGTTTTAGTCATATTTAGATAGAATTCATTATACTCTCTCCGTCCCAAAAAGAAGGTTACGTTTCATTTTTTTTTGCGCATCCCATAAAACACTTCTACCCACATCTAAAATGCCTAAAAATCACCACATTTACCTTTTATTTTGGATAGAAGTCGTTTTGAAAGTTTTTTTAGCATTTGAGACGATATAAAAGTGTTTTATTGGACGCGCAAAAAATGAAACGTAACCTTGTTTTTGAGACGGAGGGAGTATAAGAACAGAGGCATAAGGATATGACTTAGAAACAACGAGTCTTACATTATATGGGGGTGAAAAAATTGCAGGGTTCTTGGAGCTGCAGTGATTGTGGTAGGGCTTTATATGGTCCTATGGGGGAAAAGCAAAGATCACAAGTCAATATCTTCCAATGAAGAATCACTACCAACCCTACAAATGGTGAAAGCAACAACTGCAAATGGAGAGAAGGACACTGCCCCTCTTGAAGTCCTCACTATCTACCCTTCATCCAAAGAACCCATGGAGAACAAAATTGTAGCATAGAATTGACATTATTATTATTATTATTACTATTATTATTATTATTGGTATTATTATTCTTAAAGCCTTAATCTCTATATGAGCAAAACCACCATCCATGTTGTGCTTGCAAGGGAAGATGCAATCAATTGTAAGAAATTTTGACATGTTGATCTAGATGAACTATATTATCTCTTAAATAAATTGTACTATTTTCTTTGTGAGGGGCTTTATGGTCAATCTTTTTTTTGCTGGGGTGTTTGATGTGAGACTATATTCTCTACTACAATGAGTGTTAGAAGATATTTGTTTATGATGTTGAAAGTTACTCGTATTTTATAACACTGTTCAACAAATATTTTTAGTTTGATTGTAAAAAAACTGAACTAATATTTTTAATTTTAAGTCAAAATATCTATAGACAATTATGGATTGAATTTGAAAATTAATCTATAGAAAATTAAACTGTAATTTATAGTTTTAAGTCAAAATATATCTGTGTTGTGTAATCTATAGACAATTATGAATTGTTAAGAAGTAATTGGAAGAGCTTATAAGGGCCTCTGAACTATATTTAAGGCCCAAACGAGACAAGTCTTAGGCCCAATTCGTAATGCAAAACTTCTCTATGCAGTCGAATCTCTGAATCTTCTTCTTCCGGGTTTTTAGGGCACTCCGATCGCCATGAACGCCTTGACCCATTTCTCTGCGAAACCAAACCATAAACGATCTCTTCCTTTCACCAACCAATGTGCAGTCCCTGCCCGACCCGTTTTTTCCATCTCTGTAGCATCACAACCGCCGGCGCAGTATGTTACCATCAAAGCCTCGTCGCCACTCTCGCCCGGAACCTTAGCTGCTAAAGTCGCGAAGCCGGAATACGCGTCCGGTTACCCGGGAATTTCGGATTCCCCGTTTCAATTACCCTTTTCTCTCATGAAATGCGCCGTCGTGACAACCCTCACTGCCACCGCGCTTTTCCTAGGGAGATTTGGTCTCAGAGTCAACCCGGCAGTCGCGTCTCCGGTAGCCACCGTAAATTCCGGCAGGCAGCAGGGCGTTTCCGAATCTGAAACAGGGAAAGTCTTCGAAGAAATCCTGCAATCGAATCCGAATGACGTCCAGGCATTGAAGAGCCTGTTGGAGATTAGGGTCCGGAACAAGCAAATCGTTCAAGCTATAATCATACTGGACAGATTAATGGAGCTCGAGCCAAACGAGGTAGAATGGCCGGTTTTGAAAAACCACTTGTATGTTCTCACAGGGGAGCTCGAAACAGCCAGAAATGGCTTCAACGAAATCCTCTCAAAGGACCCATTACGAGTGGAAGCTTATCACGGGCTGATCACAGCAGTTTCAGACGAAGATCAAGCCGAAACTTTGAAAGGGATTGAAAATAGGGTTCTTGAGGCTATGAGTTTGTGCATTGATGATGAAAGCAAGAACAAACTGATTGATTTCAAGCTCTTATTGGCCGAAATTCGGGCAATGGAAGGTTAATATCCCTTCTTCAATCCCTCCATTTCTTATTAACTGCTCGTTATGGTTTTCAGAATTCCTTAAAAAATGAAAGAATGTAGACACACTATATGTCTAGATTCATTCATTTTTTACTATATCGTGAATATATACTTGTTGTATACCTCATAATCAACAACACCTTATATTGTATCAAAGGTGAATACGAAGAGGCATTGAAATTCTATCGCGAGTTGGCAAAGGATGAGCCTAAGGACTTCAGGCCACACCTCTGCCAAGCAGTTATATACACTCTATTGGGGAAAGCCAATGAAGCTCAGAACCATTACCAGAAAGTCCGCGAGCTGGTGCCGAAGGACCACCCTTATGCATCATTTCTTGATGATGGGTTCGCTGCAGCGAAGCTTTTCGCTGCGAAAAAAGGGATGGGGAGAAAGCCGAAAGGGGGAGCGAAATCAGTCTAGCCTCTTCTCTACACGCAGAGCTCAAGAAGTTCAGAAACACTGTGATGGTTAGTATGGTATGCTTTTCTTTCTTAAAACTCTATGCTACAAAGAATGCATCTTTGTTATGTGCTCATGGTTTTGCGTCTTGGATAAAACTTTGTACTTCTTCTACGGGTTTGAATTTGCATTTTTCGCCATAGTTGCATCTAAGAACATGTTTTTTTTAACTCTGTTGTATGGGGTTTTGAATCAAGAATGGAGTTGAGAAGGTAGAGATTGGTAGTATGAGGAAATGGGGTTTAGGGATTCAGGCTTGAGAGAATGAGTGTGGAGAATCATTTTGTGCAACCAAACAAATAGTAGTATCAATGTGGAAAAGTCACAATTATGACCTTTTTTTGCCTTAATTCTAAGTGAGGTCTTTTGTGTCTGGAATTTGGAGTCTGCTAGCTTCAACTTAGATTAATGTGAAACACCCATTTCATTTCTTATATGGAATGAAAACTTTGTTTTAGGACACCAAAAAAAGTGAAGTGGAAATATTATTTTGGGACGGAGGGAGTATAAAATTTAAGAAAATTTTAACTTGTAAATAGAATTTGATATTAAAGTTCGGAGACTGAAGTTTGGAGTATGGAGAATTGAAATAAAAAGTTAGAAAGAATATGGACCATATTTGATACCAATACAAGAACAACGAACCAAGCGGGCATTAATGAATCACATTGATTCGCGGAAAAGATGAATCATGTCCCAAGTGTCCCTTAGGACCGGTCGAGCAACAATTTGGTACGAGGTGATTTGAGTTATAATTTTAGTCTGATAAATAAGAAGTGTGATAAATACATAGTACTTGCAAAGGCTTCCTTAATTGTGTTTATACTTTATAGACGGAGTAATTAACTTAGTTGGGGTTTACATTATAAATGATGTTTTGTTTCTTCAAATTAATTAATAGGGGCCACGTTATTAGCGGGGTTTAGTTAATGGTCAATCGTAATTTTGACAAATAATTAAAGGATGTTTTAGACAACTAATTAGTTGTTACCGAATTTAGGACTAATGATTGTAAAGATTTTCTGTTCCCAAAACATAACATTAGGCTCAAAAGATTATTACACACTTTCACTTCCTAAATTATTATCAATTTTGAGTGAGCAGAAAGAAAACTTCAATTCTTTAGTAGTAAATTTTTTACAAAAAAAAAGAAGTCTTAGAACAATTTGAACATATTACATACTGAAAATAAACCAAATTCTCACTCGGTAATAACAATATTACATATAATCCTACTAATAATCTACCTTCTATGTCTAATACTCTCCATATTCATTCTTTTTGAACTGAGTATTATAATTTTTTTTTGAAACATTAAAAAACGAATGAAAGTATATAGACATTTTATATCTATATTCATTCATTTTTAATGTATATAAAGATCATTATAATCAGTATAAAAAAGAATAGAAAGAGTAAGTAAAATGCAGCTACTAATATAATAAATAAACCTGAATAGGCCTGCCTGCCTAAATAATCAAACTCTACGCGCCGCCGCATAGGGAGGAGGAGGTGACCAGAGCTGGGCAGTCTTGACTTTAGAAATGCTGGCCAGAACTCCTAACGGCGTTACATCTCCCACCACCGTCACCTTCTTGGCTACAAAGTCTATGTTGAAAGATGACACTCCTGTTTAATTAATTAATTAATTCACTAATCAATTAGAAAGTGTAACATCTCCTTATTTAGACATACATAAACACACATAAGCTTTGTCGCAATGGCGGATCCAAGAAAAAAGATGACCGGGGCACCTTTGTTCAAGACTTCAGACAATTTTTCGCTTTATTATTATTTTTTTTATATAAAAATAACACTATACTAAACAATTGATTAGGGCACTGGCCAGGCAAGGCCTACTTGGATCCGCCCGTGAGCTTAGATGACAATGAAGGGTTGCAGAATGTGGCAATGTCCGAATTCAAATCTTAACAACGACGGCGAAAATTGAAAATAACATGAAATCCTTGCATGTATTAAGGATGGATATCATTTCTATCTCATTTTTTACTTGTTAAACTAAGATTATAGCCTAATTATTTACTTCCTACCAAGTTGTTGTTCGACTGATTCTGAGAGACACTAGATATGAGATTCATCCTTATTGTAATTATATTGTTTACTTTGACTCCTCCTGAGGTGAAATCTATAGTACACGGCGTAAAACATTTCCTAAGCATATAACCACAAATTTAGTTTTTGGTTAAATTGATTACTTGATATGATATCAGAGATTTGTAGGCCAAAAGGTCATGAGTTTAAATCTCAGTGCCAACTATTATTTTTTAAAAGAATCAATGGCAACTTGTCAGGCAAAAACAAATATCACACGCACGTGAGGAAAAGCATAAAATATTTTTTGAATCTAGAATTACTAGTTCTAGCTTTTGGTTGAATTAGTTTTTTTCTTGACAGGTCTCTTGGAAACCGCATCTCCTTTCGAATATGGGTAAGATTAGTGTACACATGCTTTCCTCGGGCCCTATATTTTAATGAAATTTCACTGGGTCTGTTACTATTGTCGTTGTTGTCCGATTTGAGAAAATGCACTACACTTAGTCTTGTGTACGAAAATTTTCTCTAAGATTATTGTTCAATTTACCTCTTCAGAGATATGATCTTATGAACGAATTTCATCATTTATTTTTGTAATTGTGTGGTGTGGGAATTACCTTGCATTCTTGAGATGTGTTTCCTCATCTTCTTCTCACACCCTCTGCAATGAAGTGAAACTCTAAGAACAACAACCACCTGCACCCAATTTCATTCAATATTGTCACACAACTTTAAATTTGGTCTTTTTTAGGACCACAAACACTGTACTATAACAACTCATAACCCCCTCCCCCCCCCAGTGTCAACTCTTTGTCATTCCAACATTTTTATTTTACAGCTTTTTACAATCCAAAAAAAATTTGATCAAAAAAGGTAAAAACAATAAGTGTGAGTGGGCCCAAATAAAGTTGTTAAATTCCTGTTTCTGGTGTGAAGGTTCTAAATCAGTTTGGGGAATGAAATAGTAAAGAGCAATGCTATGGGTACACCAAAGGTATACCCCAAATGTACACCACCTCCTTCTTCACCACCCATTTTTATTTACCCCTAGCATTGCTCTTTACTATTGAAAAGTAAATCATACTCGAATAAGCCTTAATAACCAAAAAAAAAGGTAAGGGTCCCTTTGGTACACGGAATTGATGTAATTGGAATTGAATTGAAATTGAAATTTTGTTGGATTCAATTCCATAGAATTGAATTCACCAATTCCAATTCTTTTTTTGCACTAGAATTTCCAAATCCACATAATTTTTGTACTACCAAACACCATAATCAGAATTGAAGTTCTCAATTCCAATTCTATAGTTTGAATTTTGTGTACCAAATGGGGCCTAAAACTATTTGTACCCCAAGGATTTGTACACCGCATGGATGCACTAATATTTTTTGTTGGTGTAATGCTAATTTTTGTTAACGCACAAACACTTTGTGTCAGTGTAAATTTTTGTTAACACACCAACATTTTGTGTCAGTGTGAACCATCAAAATGTTGGTGCATACCTTTGGTGTACAAATGGAGTACAAATTTTGGGGTATATGTAGCATGCTCCAAAAAAAAAATCTCTATCACCATGAACAAAAAACGATCTTAAAATAATTGTTACTTCCTTATTTTCATAGAGAGAAAACAATATATAGATCACAACTTTTCACATTATTTTTTAAAGTAAGGTTATTTTTTAAATTTACATAGTCAAAAGACATACTCCGTATTATTTTTCTTTACATGATCATTTGTTGAAATAGACTTAAGTTATCATTTTTTGTCAAAGTTTAAAATATTGATTAAAAAAATAAAGAAGTAAATAATCAGACAAGGTAGTACTAAAGATAAATTTAGTCAGATAATTTTTTATAAATATTTATAAAGTATTTTTAATATAAAATTGTTTTGATAAATATAATCAAAATATTTACAAAAAACCATTCTTTTGTTCTTTAAGTGAAATGATTTTAATTTCTTTTATTTCAACAAAAATATATTAAAAATATCAATATATTCTCTTCATCCATTTTTTTCTTCCCATTTCGAACAACATCCAAAATCTCATCATTTTTAAAATTATATAATTATAAATTAGGATATCAATAAAAAATACTCACTCTATACCAAATTAAACTGTCTTTATACTACTCCCTCCGTCCCAAATTTAAGTTGTTGGTTTCGGTTTACGATGTTTGACTAAAGTTATTTTCAAATCATTGTATATGATAAACGGTGTAGAATTAAAAAATAAAAAAGACATACTCCGTATTTATTATTTGAAAATTACATTAAAAGATCTATAAAACAAGTGATGATGACATGAAAATATGGAAACAAAGTGACAAAAGTATGACCGTATAAATAATAAACAGACAATTTTATTTGGAACAGAGGAAGTATTTATAACATTAAACTTTATATACTTTATTTATCTATTTTTGTTAGTCATATGATAAAATAAAAAATTAATGTCACCACTTGCTTTGGAAGGTTTTGATCTTTATAGATTTTAGGCCCATATTTTGATATTTCATAAATCAATATTTAAGAAAATTTGTTTTGGGAAGGGAAGAAGTGATTTAAGAAACAAAAAGGATTTAGTTTGAATTTTATATTTATAAATACAAATATTAATGTAAGTACTTGAGTGAGGGAGTGGAAAAAAGAAAAAGAAGAAGAAGGAGGGAGTACCTTATTATCGGTGGGACCAGACTGAGGATGAGAAGAAGACGACGAAACCTCCTCTGCAGCTTGGTGGACCATACCGTTACAATTCGGATCCTCCGGCTTCAGAATCGGGTCGAAACCCGAAACCGAATCCAAGAAACCATCATTTTCATCGTTCAACAGGTACCTGGAACTGGACGAGCTCTGCGGCGTCACGAAATCCCCCGGCTTCGTACACCTCCACCCCCCGCCGCCGCGAGTCGCCGGCGGCTTCGTAGAATCGCTCTTATTCTTCTTCTTCTTCTTCTTCTTATTTTCCTTATTATCATTCTTTTTCGTCGGTTTGGTATCACTCTGCTGGGCCGGACCGGCCGGGTTCCGGGCCGGTTGAGTTCGGCGGCGGGAATCGGTGATGATGGGGTTGAACCGGTCGATGGCCCGGCCGCCGTCTCCACGGCCGAGATGAACGACGGGGGCGGAGGAGGAGGAGGAGGAGGAG